CGGTACCTATGGACCTTTATGGTCGTTAAACATGTTTTGTCCGTTCTGTGGAAACCACCTGGGCCAAGTGACATGGTTTTGCTCATCACGATATACTTTCTCGTGCGCAAGAGATACGTTCTCGTGGACACGAGAAAGTTACAGGTTCGCCAAGTAGGAAGTGGAGCTGTGCCTTTTACACACAGCCTTCGCTGTGTTTACCTTCATTAGAACACTAAAGAGCGACTGCTGCTTCATTATAGCCACACACACATCGAACTGCCCGATTATTACGCCTTATTATTCTATTTATGAAGGAGATGTCCGGCCCCCAGGGCGTGTGTGTGACACTGGCATTTGTTTTCAGAAGATATTAAGATACTGTCGTCCGTTCCGGTACTGCGTTCTCTCGCGTTTGCTTGGTCAAATCAGCAGCTCTTCATTTTTGAGTGCGCAATTAAATCGGGCCTTTACGGTAATTGCAGAGAAGCGGCACTGACGCTAGTAGTAGGCTACAAGAGTAAAATAATGCATGTTTTTTCTGCTTTATTTGCGATACAAATCATTTGTACCATAATGCTGCGTTCACACCAGACACGATGCGAATATTCGCTTCGCTCTAATAGCTCCCATCGAATCGCTCTAGTCCAGTGCTTCTCAAAGTGTGGTCCACGGACCACTGGTGGTCCGTGAGCGCCCCCTAGTGGTCCGCGAGTATATTGGTAACATTTCACATTTGAAATAAATAAATACATTTAAGTTGTCCGCACTCTCGCGGGAATATCTCCGCAATGCGAGCTTAATTGTCACTTTCGATTGCATGATATAGCCCAGCGCAACACCTTCATCACACATGTTGCCACTTGTTTGTAGGCCTACTATTTTCAGGCGATTTGTAATTTGTTCTAGAAAAACGATGTGATTTTGGATATTTGTGGAGTTAGGTGGTCCGCGAGTGTTTTTTTATTTGTTAAGTGGTCCTTGGTATGAAAAAGTTTGAGAAACACTGCTCTAGTCTAACGGCCCCTACACACGGCAGTGTGCGTTGCCGCTTCAACGCTTCTGCCCATTCACTTTGAATGGGGTGACGTCATGATTCGCCAAACTGCATCGTGGGAGCAAAGCGTAGCTTCTCTCGTGGTGCTCGCTGCAAAAGTCACTGCAAAAACTGCAGATCTAACAAGTGTAATAATCATATATTTAGATTCTAAATCTAGTTTGTCTTGATTTGAGTTTAAATAGCTTATCTAGTGCTTTCTATGGAAGATTTTTTGACTTAATTCAAGTAAATGTTACTTGCCTTGTCTTGATAAGCAACTTTGTCTTTATTTTAGTTATGTTTAACTAGATACAAGGGACCTGTCTATAAAACATCCACTTCAAGGCTAAAAAGCCTTATTTTAAGCACTAGTATGGCAAGAAGAAACAAATGAATTTCAAGCATCAGCTCTGTGGTTAACATAAGTTATTTTCTCAGCTGGTAAAGACAGTAAAAGACACAATTCAAACAAGAATTAACATCTCTTTTAATGATCATCACAAAATGAACTGATAATCATCATAACACACTTTCCTAAAGGATATGGACCAGAATAACTGATGATATGCATGACATTGACTCTTGAGGTAGGTGTGCAATCTCTACTCTGTTACTGCCCTGGAACTGGTAAGAAGGTGGGGGTCCCCGAGCAGTGAGGACACTGTTGGGAGGGGCTGCCAGCTACTCAGTACCCCCTCCCTCTTCCTTCAAGGAACGTCTCTTTCCCCTGTTATCTGGTCTCTTATTATCTATGGCATAAGCAATACTGGACAAAGAACAATATCTTAATTTCTGAGGTTGTGGTGCTTTGCATTTATCACACCAAACTTGTTCAAACAATCCATGCCACATTACACATTTAAACATGAACAGCTTAACACACCAAGTATGGCTGAGCTATATGGATAACAAAAAAAAAAAATCACAATATCTTTGACTTGAATTTTCACACACTTCATCAGATGTGGACGACTATAACGATTGCTCTCAGTGGTGTGTGCGAATTTGGCGCTTGCTGCATTATTTAATTATGCGAAGACCCGCCCCTACTCTGCTTCTCATTGGCCCTGAAAGAAGAAAAACCTGGAATGTGCATCCATGATGTGTTTGTCATCTCTCATAAAGTCGGAAAATTAGTGACTTTATTTACCATGTGTTTGTCAGAAGCTGGATCAATGACAAGATCCACTAAAAGATGTAAACAACGAATGCCAGTACTATATTATTTACATCAAGAGATCCTCCTTAGTCCTCAGTGTTTACAAGTGGATTCTTTCACACAGTGACGTCACGAGCTACCCACAATGCAACACGCGCCATATATATATACGCCATTTTCAAGGAGGTGCAAATATCCTGGAAGTGCAAATATAAACAGCTAGCTAACGTAGCCAGGCAGAGTGCACTAGGTTTTTTTTCTGAATTAACGACCGAAGAAATCGCTGCATGTCTTCGGATTACATCTCTGGACTTGAGGGGTGTGCTCTAGGTCGTTACCAGCATAAACTAGAGCTGTGTGGGTTGTCGGATTGCCTTTACAGACTGCCTGCAGATGTATGGAAAAACGACCCTCAAAAGTGGCCTTCGTCGATTTTGGCTGCATCTACGTCTAATTTCTGGAAACACCAGGTGAATAGGCCTATCCCACTTGTCACAATAATATTATCATGCCATTGCATATATGTGGTATTTTAGAGTTGACTAGATATTGATTAAGGCAATAGACTATGATATTCAGTACAGGAAGCTTAGCAACACCTAGACGGTGTACGCTAAACCCTTGGCCTGCTTGCACCTTGCGTAAAACGGCGGATACCGGAAGTACGGTGTCGCCCTCGGCCCAATACCCGTATGTGTGTGTGAAAGAATGGCTGTTTGTGTCCAAATCATGGCAAACGGGGAATTTCCTATTTCACGAGGATCACCTGAACGCACCACAAGCCAAGCTCCGCAGCGCCAGTGGAATGTAACACGTTGTTCAGTTGGTTCACCTTCACCAGAGAGGCAGGACAGCGCCCAAGAAGTGCAGTTAAGGTAACGTTAGTAACTGAACATAGGAATAAAAGTCCATAGGCGTATGTAACATATTAGTGCTTTCAATTTATTAAGTAGAAGTACATTCATTGGTTAACTGTTAGCTGAATTAGCTAAGATAGCTAGCTAACTACGAAGCACGTGTTGCTAGCTAACCTTAACCTCACTAATGGGGTATGTAAAAATTAAGCTAGCTAACGTCAACTACTCAGATAAATAAACTGTCTGTAAGGAACACAAAATTAGCCGACGTTAATAGCATACGTTTTCTTTTGGTATTCAGTAATTGATCTGTTAAAAGCTAGCAGTTAGTTAAAAACGCAAAGGGTGGTGGTAGACTAGCTAACGTCGACCTGGCTAGTTCATAGTGAATCACAGCAATTTTACAATTTAGTGTCTGATGCCTTTTTTTAAATGTGATTTTTTTGGGGGTTGACTTTTAAAATGACAGTGGCCGTCTTTTCCTGTAAATTACAGAATGGTGAGATGGATAGATTTGATGACACAACTGTGTCACTCTTAAAAAGGTAAATCTCTTGTTAATTATTTAGACATCTAACATCTGTTTGCTGTTTTCTCTGTATCAAAGTTCTATTGATTTCTACACTCAGGTTTTGGACGAGATGGGCCGAATTCTAGAGGCAGGCAACAAGAATTTCACTGATCAGATCAAAGCCAGATGGGAAAGCTTTTGCGAAAATGCGCTGTTCTTTGGAGTGTGGAACAAGTCGTTGAAGCCACCAATGGGTCTGGATAAATGTAAGCATACTGTATAGATAACAGATGTTTTATAGGTTGGGGCAGTGGCGGTTCTAGACCAATTTCACTGGGGGGCCAGTTATTTTCTGAGGGGGGCACAATACATGCAGGACGAAAAAGAGAACTAGACAGTATGAAGTAATTGCGCATAAGAAAACAATGCAATACAGTTATTGGTATTTGTTTCAGTACACTTATTTATTTCAGATAGATCTTATAGTTATTACTGTTAGCTTCAGCTTAAGTTATAGTGCAATGTTTGCACTCACACCATATTTATATAAAAATAAAGGCAATGAACAGTTACATCTCTACTTTACATAAGGGTGTCTGCACAATCTCACATTACAGCAACAAAATCCTGCGGTTTTTGGCAAACCGAGTACCAGAAAATATACATTTAAAAAAAACAAAAAAAAAACTTTTCATTGTTAGGGGGGCCACAGGGGGGTCAGAGGTCAGTGTTAGGGGCACTGCCCCCCCCCTAGAACCACCCCTGGGTTGGGGGTGACCATTTAATGGCCGCATGGGATGTGATTGTATTAGCTTATTTTCATTATTTTGATAGGACAGGATCTCCTTTTTGATGACTGAATTATGGCAAAATGGTAGTTATAAGGTAGTAGTGGTCACTAGAGGGTTTAAACACTACTACCTTATGTCATGCATACAGGTGACCCTTATTGTTTTGCTTTCCCTTGTGCAACTGACAAGTGCTTTTTATATCCCCTGCAGTGAAAGTGTCAGGGATATTATAAATTCACCCCGACCGCTGCCCCCCCCCACTATCCAGCCAAACTTTCAGTTTGCTGATCCAATAACTGCAATCGTTTTTATTTCACTCTTTCATTTCGCTGTGCACATTCAATATCCCTAGGAGAACCATTTGATTTTGGTGATCCCACGCTCTCTGTCTCAGGCCAATTTTGAAAAAAAAGTAGCACCAGTTTATGTACAATTTCCCAAGGTGACATTAAGATTCATGTCGCTTCAGGGATACACGCATACACTGTCGTTCACCAACAGCATAGTTTTTCCATGATTAGCTTATACTCCCTTGGGCTCTGCACAGAAATATTTTTTTGCTTTTGTGCTTACTTTTCAGGAACACAATACTTAATGTCAAAGTCAAATTGCCTAACAAAACCAAGCACAATGTATTTGATCATGTATCCATATTGTTTTTCAGCTGGACAAGCGATTGCTTTGATAAAGGCACTTCCCTCAATGTTTCCTTCCCCAACTGCCCCACCCAAAAAGCTTGGGTCAGCAAGTGAGGCACTATTCCATGTTCTTGAGGTGAGTCTGAGTCAGTATCAGTTAAATTGAAATAAAACTTGATATGCCCTGAGGTTTAATTTGTTTCTACTTTTTGTCTCTACTTTGTTGCTCTCAGCCATCTGAGGACCCCAATACGTTTCTCCAGAAACGGCCCATCACCAGTCCAGTCATCCTAGACTCTACTAACCTCCTCCTGGCTGTTGGCAAAATCACACTGATGACCCTACCTAGGGAAATGATGCACGAGGCTCCACTCATCCTGATGGGGTGTTTTTACACCTTCCACCTCACCCAAATGTGTTGCTCCTCTCCTATCCGTCATCCAGACTGAGGTACTGAAGGACAGTATTCACGAGCGTGACCTTACTCATTCATACAAAAAATGGGCAGAATTCACAAAAAAGTAGAGAACTTGAATTCTGTGTCCAATGTTTGTCAGTTCTATAAGGATGTATATATGTTGAAGAGCTTTGTTCATTTAATAAATGATCCTGTTTGTTATGGACTGACTTAATAAAAACGTGTTTTTTGAAATAATTGTCATGTTTACTTATTTTAAGAGCATGTGTTCTAATTTAGCTCCCTAAAAACAAGAATTCCATTACATAAAAACAAGAATTTCATTACATGTAACTTGTTATCGCTTTTATCCAAAGCGACTTACATACTCAATACTGTGGGCAATCCCCAAAGGAGCAATTTGGGGTGAAGTGTCTTCAGGGACACAACGACATGCTGACTGCAGTGGGGTTTGAACCTATGCTCCCCTGATCCTAACACCAACGCACTACCAACTGCGCCACACGCCACCCTAAATCTAATTTTAAGTAATTTGATGCTAAAAGTACCCAAGTTTTGAGTGATAATAGGCTTCTTTTGCATTAAATAGGCTTAACTAGATTGCTTGAAATTAGTCTTTTTAATCTTATTTCAAGATTGTATGTGCTATAATGATAGTCGGACAGCCTGACTTGTTTTAAGACATCTTATCAAGTGAAATTTGCTTACTGCACTGGCAGCCAAATGTGCTTGTTTTAAGTGCAAGCATGCTTACATCTAGAACGTTTGGCCTTAAATTTGACAGGGCGTTTTTGCAGTGAGCAATGTTCTACTTTTGACGCCTCGACGGAGGCGTCAGCCAATCAAACCCCTTTTATGCAAATATGCCAGTACAAGCGCTAGCCAATCAAACCGTGTGTATGATGGGAGAGCTAGACCGCAGTTCATTTCCTCATATAACAAAAAAATTGAGGAGAAAATAATCGTAGCGGTAGGGAATCACCCGGTGCTTTATGATCAGTCCCTGTTCACCTACCGGGATACAAACCGGAGGAGGCATGGGGGGAGGTGGCAGAGACAGTGGGTGAAACTGGTAGGTTTTCGCCTGTTTGGAGAGTTTATATCCAGTTTACTTCGTTTGAATGGACAGCTAGCAGGCCTAGATAGTATTTAGCCAGCATGGAATGTTGCGTAAAATAGCACCATAGACATTAATGTCATAAATGTTCATCATGTAAAGTGTGACATGTAAAACCTTGTATGCAATTGACAGGAGAGATTCATGTGATTGGTTGTTGGTCGCGTAAACTCCCCAAGCTCAAGACACGCCCACTGCCAAGCGGCAACGCACGCCGCCGTGTGTAGGGGCCGTAATTGTGCGTTCACACCAGACGCGATGCAAATATTCGCTTCGCTCTAATCGCTCCAGTTTCACTGCGGCTGCCAGCTGTGGTTACTCGCATCATTCAAACAAGACGCGCTGGCTCGGGAGCTACAACAAAATTAACATATTTCACCGTGATTAAATTGTAATACACGTTTCTAAATGATGCCAAAGTAACTACATACTGATACCGGTTAGTAAAAACCATGAATTAATGCTTGACAAGTCTGCAGACAGACGGCAGGCGAAAAACCTTTTAGAATGCTTGTTTTCTGAATGGAGATTGGGTCGACCAGGCTAAGCTAACGTTGTATATGCTCACTCCACACTCATAACAACGGCCTACAGACATAAATATACCAGCGACTGTATTCGCCATGACACAGACAGTCTGTGGTTTGTACTTGTTTAACTTTTGTCCAGTTTCTGAACAGATATGAGGAGCTGTGATCTCTGTGTGTTAACAGCTAACGGCTGATGTTTTCCGGTTGAACATCAGTGACGGCAGGCTGAGATCCTCACCGCTGATTGGCTACAGCGAGATCGTGTCACGTGAATTTGAAAAAAATGGAACTCTCGCGTTTGACGCGGCACAGTTCAATCGCGTGATTCGAGCCGCGTCATGCTCGCTGTCGGAGCAAATTTGTGTCTGTCCGCGTCTCTGCATTGACTTTACATGTAATCGCGCCGCCCCCAAACATCGCATCGCGTCCGGTGTGAACGCAGCATAAGTTCTTAATAAAACTGACACTGTTTGACTCGGTCCTAGTTTGACTGCTACAATAAAATGAAGTAGGCTACTTTTACAGTGTACTTTTTGGGTAATACTCTCTCAAAGTCCCCTCCTACAAAATCATGCCACTTCTGCTATGTTTGATGAGATAAAATGATTTTTAGCCATAAGTTCTTAATAAAATTGGTACTGTTGGACTCAGTACTTCTTGGACTACTACCACAAATACAATGAGGTACTTTTACTGTGTACTTTTTGAGTCAAACTCCCATCCTTAGTACAATAATTCATGTATTCTGCTGAGGGATAAAATGATTTTTTGCAAAAAGTTCTACATGAAATTGATACTGTTGGACTCAGTCAGTACCAGTGTTGGGACTAACGCGTTACTGTAACGCCGTTACTTTTGGCAGTAACTAGTACGCTAACGGCCCATCCACACAGCAGCTTTTGGCGATTTGTCCACCGCTTCCAGCGCGTCTCCGCCCATTGACTTTGAATGGGGATGACGTCACTTTCCCTCGCTTGTCGCCGAACTGCATTGTGGGGGGGCGAGGCGAAGATTTCCAGGATTTCGAGGATGTTCAGGATTCCAAAGTTGAACATTGTTCAACTTTTGAGGCTGAGCTGGAAGCGACAGCCAATCAGATCCGTTTATGCAAATCTGACAGTTCAAGCGCTAGCCCAGGGGTGGCCAACCAGTCAGAGGTTAAGAGACAATTTTTTTCTATTTTACTGCAAAGAGCCACATCAAACACACAGTCACTGATACCGCTTGTTTCAGTTTTTTGTTTTCTGGAGACAAGATTTCAACCGTCACTGATGCATTTTTGTGGCATTGGGATATATATTTTTTAAATCCTCTGGAGCAGAGAGAGGAGCTGTGGATTATTGGTATTGATTAATGCATCAGTGTTTCTTAGGGTCAAAAACACTAAACTCACAACTTAAAATGAAAGCGTTTAGTTTATTTAATAAAAGAGCACATGTTCAATGTGAAAAGTGACAGTAGTTATAGATTATTTGCAATTTGGTGCTATGTATATATTAAAAAATAATAATAATTATATATATTTTTTAAACACCTTGAATTCCAGGGGGGGCGCGGGGCTCCGTTGGCGGGAAGCAGCACCCCTCCAAGACAATGGTAGGGGAAACACTGGATAGTGTTTAATCAACGATAGGTTTTCCCCCCCTCAAAGGTGATTGGTTCACTGCATCACAGGTATTATTGTGATTGGCTCTTGGGCCACATCAAAATTAGACGCGCTGTCATCCTCTCATACTGACTCCTGACACCACACATACACACGTAGGGAGAGCCGGGACGAAAGTAACACGGGACGAAAGTAACGGAGCGATTTTATCCGAGCCCAAACAACTTTGACCGGCCAAATTACGTCAGAATTATCAGCATTCAATACTTAACAGACCTACTAAATATCATGTTTAACTGTCAGGAGTAGCTAGCTAGTGTTGTCACGATACCAACATTTTGTTTTCGATACCAAATCAAGAATTGCGATTCCGATTCTTTTTCGATACTTTTCTTAAAAAAAGGGAAACAGTCTTAAATGTAATTATTGTGCTTTATTTCACACCAGAACCATAACACAAACTTTTAAACAATGAGAACAATAAATAAAACAAATGACAATAATTCGTATTAAATCAAATTAATACATTTCTTACAGACGGGCCTCGTGGTGTCCGTGGCTTGCCCTCACTGTCAGAGATATAGCTAAAATACTTCCAAATTTCGCTTCTGGCGTCTTTTTTGTCAACAAGCCGAGGCGCAGCGGCAATTGCACTCCCACTTGCAGCCATGCTTCTCATTTTCTCACATACTCTGGCAGCTAGCGCGTGCATGAGAGAGGGGAGGGACTTAGAACGTGCTTGAGAGGGGCGGGACTGCAGGCACGGCTGCAGTGCAGGGAATGGAAGCAGAGCGCTGAACACACACGGCTCTTATTAAACGGCGCTTTCTCACCGGAGTACTTTCCCCCGTCATTCTTAAAGTACCGATACTAATGAAACGGAGGAATAGTAACGTTTTTAACGGCAGGGTATCGCGGTACCTTTCAAGTATCGGTACACCGTGCAACACTAGTCAGGAGTCAGTGTCTCTCCCCCAAACTCACACAATTCGATATGAACTGAAGAGCCGCATGAAACTAGGCAAAGAGCCGCATGCGGCTCGAGAGCCGCGGGTTGGCCACCCCTGCGCTAGCCAATCAAACCGCGTGCAAGCTGGGAGAACGAGACCCGCAGTTCATTTCTATATTCCACAAAAATGAAGGAGAACTTAGTTATTGCGGTAGCAAATCACCCGGTTCTTTATGACCAGTCCCTATTTACTTACCGGGATACAAACCGGAGGAACCAGGCATGGAGGGAGGTGGCAGAGGCTGTGGGGGATTTTCGGATAGGTTTTCGCTCGTTTGGGGATTTTATATCCAGTTTACTTCGTTGCTAGTTTACTTCGTTGCTAGCAAGCATAGACAGTATCATTAGCCAACATGGAATGTAGCATAAAATAGCACCATAAACATTAATCTCATAAATGTTCAAAAAATAAATGTTCATCATAGCCCTTCCTATTTGACAATAGTGTAGAAGAACCGGGTTTTTTTGCTTTGTATGTCGGGGGCGGGATATTCATGTGATATTCATGTGATTGGTTGTTGGTCGCGAAATCCCCAAGCTGTCAGACACGCCCAGCTCCAGGATTTTCAAGATTTGGTCAAAGCTGCTGTGTGGACACACCGTAACGCATTACTTTTTAAATTCAGTAACGCAGTTACCGTTACTACATGGTGCGTTACTCCGTTAGTTTTTTTATATAGTCAACAGCCAGGCGAACAGAGATGAGAACTGTACTTAAGTACTTGAGTAAATGTACTTAGATACTTCCTGTGTCACATGCGGAGACGCGCTGTGGGCGTGTTTGTGTTTACTAACAAGACTATCATGGCGGCGGCGGAGCTCAAGTCTAGTTTCTCCACCTGGAGATATTCTCACTATTTCACTTTTGTCGAGCACAAATAAAAGAACGTTTTAGTTAAATGTAAGTTGTGTCCTGGCGGGTCAAAGATCCTATCTACTGCCCAAACCAGTCATTCAAATCTCTTAAAACAT